GGGACTACACGATGCTGGAGACGATGGCCCAGGCACTCAACTTCTCCATTTCTGTTATGCCTGATGCAGACTGGGAAGAGGCGAGACAACTATTTTCATTGGCTCACTTTGGGATTAAACGCACGCTGAATGTCAAGAATCATACCGTTCAGATTATTTATTTTTTATTGTTTCTGTTTGCTTATTTATCTCTAAATGTCTATATGTACATCTGTGTTTGCATACTGGTATACATTTCTAAATATATTCAAATCTCTATCTACCGAACTATTAAGTATGCACATATACAGTACGTGTGTATTCCATGCGCATCCACCGGAGTGACGTAACCCAGCCGCCCTGCCATCCCTTCAGGTGATCCTGCGAGTGCAGGAGCGCCGCGCGTTCATGTCGCCCATGAAACTGGCCATCATGCCTCATCTCCTCGAGCTCTACGACTTCACGACCGTCATCGAGCCCGCGACCCTGGGCTTCAGCATGGCCAAGCCCACCCTGAAGCCGCGCTGGCAGAGCCTCTACTACCCGCTCACCGAAGGCGTCTGGGCCTCCATCCTGGCGGTGCTCGCACTGGTGCCCGTAGCGCTGATCCTGGTGAGGCTGCGCTCGAGCACGTGGTATTCTAAAGAATGGCTGTATTATATCAGAATACCCATTGCTGTCCACATATTAAGAGATAACATTTCAAAATTCAAGGATAATCTACCGTGCGATAAGCTAAGCGTCGTTAAGAGGTACAAGGTCAAGAGTTATTGGAGAGAGCAGTAAGATAAGGGCAGATAGATTTCAAACTCTAATAAATCACAATAAGATCCATAAGTACGCTTGTTAAAGCATAAGGCAGAAATTCTCGCGATTATTTCCACGAAGCTAATGTAGATCCTCGTTAGACAGCTCTTTTAACCGGGTCGTGTAGTCCAATGGTTTTAGTTTTAGTTGTGACATCTATAACTGTTATTGCATTTTTCTCTCTTTTATTCACTCGCACCGATATCTCCAGATCACTAGAGCAGGCGGCCGTATGGGAAGCCAAAGTATCAGTGGCATGCAGAGGCTGGTCCTCGAGGTAGTTGGGTCTCTCGTGAGCCAGAGTTCCTCAGGGCGAGGGTATGACACCTCCTCCACTCGGGTGCTGCTCGCCACCTGGCTCATCTTCTCCTTCATCGTCAGCACCGCCTACAGAGGGAATCTCACCGCGTTCCTTACGATTCCCAAGTATCCGGATCGACCTGAAACCCTCGAGCAGTTCATACAGACAGGGGCTAAGTATGCATTCGCAGAAGGGTGATGTCATGTAGTTGCAGATGGGAGATGAGCGTTTAGGGTGTGGAATCATTTTTGAATAGTTAACGAATCCACTGTTTGTATATCAGTATTTTTTCTTCGTTTGATTATAATTCTCGACACACGCACACTTTATACACACACACAAGTATGTATATAAATATATATATATATATATATATATATATATATATATATATATATATATATATATATATATATATATATATATATATATGTATATGTATATATATATATATTTATATATATGTATATATATAATAATACATACATATAAATATATATATATATATATATATATATATATATATATATATATATATATATATATATATATATATATTAATATATATACTAATATTAAAGAAAAAGGCGATGAAACCACTGGTCGAGCTGAAAAATATTACTTATTGTCAAATTCTGTGTGCCTCCTTCTCAGAGCGACATACCCGCCTGATGTCGTTGACTTCTACAACAACTTCAAGAAATCGGATTCCTATTTATATACAACCCTTGCAAGTCGCATGACATTAGTCCCTAACTTCCAAGTCGGACTTCAAGAGGCTATTGATCTTGGGTAAGTCGGTTAGAATACTAATAATAACTGTCATTTCATTTGCATTTACAGGCAGTGTATTTCATGAATGTTTTTAAATAAATTAACTCTAATGAGTATAAGCATTTTTACACAGTTAAAAATGAAAACACCGCCACTATAGAAACGAAATAAAGCCCACCAAAAGTTCCTCACCTGACGTAGGAAAAATCAAGATGAATCCATTTTGGATTTCCCTTTGCCTGGTTGGGAACTCTCAACAAATTCGAAACGTTCCGTTCTTTTTCGTTTTGACTTTGGCAGTGTTTTCATTCGAATAAACTCATCGTTCCGTGTAGTGGTCCATAACCCATGACTACAGCTTTATGTAATCTTTAACAGTTAAGAAATATATAAATATTTGAGATTCTTCGGCAATCTCTCCCTGATTCAAGAACAGATTCCAAAAATAAAGCAGGAAAATGGGTCAGTGTCCAGGCATAAAATGAAACACCAGCAAAATAAACGAAACTGACGTAATTGTGCCATCCGCGTTAACTTGTTCCCACAGCCAAGGCTATTTCTACGAGCGGATGTCTCTAAAGCTGGCGATCGAAGAGTACTTCACGTCCACCGATGGGACCACCAAGCTGTACGTGGCCG